CTATATTGGACATTTTTGGTTAATTTCTTTATCGAGGAGGTCAGTGAGTACAACACTGCCATCTGTAAAACACGATGGAGGCTCTGTCATGTTTGGGGCTGCATTTCAGCCAGTGGTGTTGGAGATCTTAAAATTGATGGAATTATAGAAACAGAAAAGCACTGTTCGATTTTTAACCACTGTGCAGTACCGTGTGAAAAGCGTCTGGCAACAGCTTCGTTTTTCAGCATGACAACGATCTCAAACACACTCCCAATTCAGTAAAAGCAGACCTGGATAGAAAGACACAATTAAACTCTACCAACCATTGACTGGCCTCCTCAGAGCTTGGACCTCAACATTACTGAAGCAGTGTGGGATTCTCTTAAAAGAGAACAGGACAAAAGAAAGAAACATCCAAGGAAGAGCCGTAAGTGTCCTTCAAGAAGCCTGGAGAACTACTCCTGAAGACTATTTAAAGAAATTACAATAAAGATTGGTCATATCAAATAGTGTCTTCCAAGCTTGTTAGAATGATGTGAACTCCGTAATAATCTTGTATACTACATTTCCGTGTATGTTTGCGCGTTACTGTCATGGTCCTGAGTCTGTGACCCAGTGTTTTGTGTTGTTTATTATTAATAGTCTTTGCTTTTGTGCTATTTAGAGTTCTTAGTCTCTTGGTTTCTCTGTCTTCCATGTTTGCTCTGTTTTACTTTGACAGTCTGCGTCCTATGTTTATGTTTTTAGTTTTGCTTCCCTTGTCTCGTCCTGCCTAATCACTCCCAGCTGTGCTCTCCTCCTGTGCCTCATTCCCCTCGTTATCCCTCAGTGTGTTCTTTTTGAGTTTACTTTTCGTCTCTGCAAGTTTGCATTTGGGTCCTCTCCTGCCTGCACACAGCCAGTTTGTGACAGTTTAAATCACTGCACCCATTTCCCATTTTCCTAGCAAAATATGGCTCAAGACTTTTGCACAGTTTTATATAAAATCCCTGCAAACAAAAATTTCATTTCTGCAATGAGCTATACTTACTCTTCAACAATGATTACATCAGGGAACCACAACATTGATGTCATAATGGACAGCTTTTCTATCCCACAAAACTCTGAAGAGTTCCAAGTCAGGAATTCATTTGTCCAACTCTGGAAAGAATGAAAAGCTGAGTTTTAAAAAGTGCCAGAAAAAATATGAATAATAGAATTAATGAATAAATCACGAGCCTACAGAGCTGGTGTTTATGTAACTGCTGATTGAACAATGCTGACAAATGGACCAAAGTGATCATCTTGGTTTTTGAATGTGCCACACAGATTCTTACCATGTGGACCCTGATTTCATTTGTGAAAGTTTGAGACTTCTCATTCTGGAAACAGTAAACAGCAAAGAGATAAGTTATCGAGGGAATTTCCAAGGAACTGTGTTGTTCTCTCAAAAGGATCAGTATTTATTAATCCACATAGTCAGGGGTGTATTTCTTTATCCTCTAAGGTTCTGATGCTCTAAAACAATAATGCATCCAAAAAATGTTGTGCTGTGTAAAAGGTGAACCAAAATTATTTGCAAATCATCACAAGTGTGGTTGAAGATCAGACACATCCTAAGGTATAATGTTTGAAATGCTTTTCTGCTTTTGTTCAGTCCATGCAAGAAGGACGATAAGGATGCTTACCGATTCTAAAATGCCCAACAAAAACAAGTCCACCTGAACAAAGGTGCTTCTGGTCCAGTTTTTCACTGGCCGCATGGTTTCCAGAGCAACATTTGATGAGGTCAGGTTCAAGTAGTCCAGTAGATTATAGTATGAGCACTCTGAAGTCAGACTGCAGGAAAACCCTGCTGGGAAGATGAAACATGCAGACAAGAAAAACACGTGGCCTGAAACTTCAGATCCTACACAACTACAGAGAGAACGTCTCTTTAACATTTGGTTCCCATCAAATGTTAAAGTCTAATGTAAAAACTCACCAATTACAGAGATAAAAGCCAGAGTCTGTAGAGCAGCCATGGCCTTTTGCTCTCACCTCAGTCTGGGTAAACCCTTTTAAACTTTAGAGTCTTACACAAAACAAAGCAATACAAAATTGTGCATGAGACCTTTGCATTGTCTATTATAAACAAACTCCTATTTGTCCCTCTGTGTGATTGAACATGATACCAATCACCTGTACATTACTATTGTTGAGCTACAAATGAAGCACAAAGTCAACATAAGAAGATCTCATTATCACATCAAGTCTAAATGGAAAGCTTTCCCACTTCCACTTGACGTAACAGTGAATGATCCCACAAAGTATTTGGCCTCTAGTCAAATAGAAGCTTCACATGTGGCTATAAATCACTGTAATTAAAAATGCTGAAATGCGCACAAGAGGATTTCAACAGTCGGGAAATTCAGGAGCCAATTCTGACCCTCCCATTTGAAAAGTCGCAGCGGAAACTAAGACTCATCGGGCCAGGCAGCATATTTCCAATCTTCTGTTGTTCAGTTTTAAACAGCTGAGTGGTTATTTGAGTTGCTGTTTCCTTGCTATCAGCTTGAAGCAGTCCATCCATTCCCCCCTCACTTGTGACATCAATAAGATACCTTTTCCCAGAGAACTGATGCTCACTGGACATTTTCTCTTGTTTGGAACATTCTCCTCCTGACTATATCCACATGGCTAAATGCACTGAGTGGCTGCCATGTGATAGGTTAAGTTAATGATTGTATTCATGAGCTCTTAAAGTTGTGTAGCAACTAACTAGTGAGCATGCAATAAATACATGTACACAGAATAACTTTTCAAATCCCATTTTCAAAAAACTGAAGTTCTGTGTCAAAAGTATGAAAAAACTAATAAATAAAAATGTATAAAAAATATTTTATATAATTGTTTACAGTTAGCTATATATATATATTCTAAGTGATGTAGATCAGTTCAGCTATATTAGATCAATTCATCAACAATATCTTAATGCAGTTTAATAATTGTGTTTTATTTTTGTTTAAATGGGAACTGATGCAGTTACAAAACTTGGGATTAGCTCCATCAGTTCAGCACTTACTGTGATGACACCAGCTACTATGGTCTGAAAGCAAAACAGTTTCCAATTTTTTTCGAAGCAGGATAAAACAGTTATGTGTTTGTTTTTATCCCATCCAAAGTTTCGCTGCTTCAGTCTATGTAAGTGCTAATGAGTAGGAGCCCTGAGACAGAAAGTGTAATTTGCCCTGATCAGTTTCACTCTCAGGTCTAAAGATTTTAGGGAAAAAAAATCTCTTCCAGTAAAATAGTATTTGTGTAGCCGTCCTAACAGGTGAAACCTCTTAGAGATCAAAGATGAGTCAGATCAGAAGTATCTTTAACCCCTGGGGAGTCTTAGGGTCGATTTGTGGCTCTAGGTCCGATAGTGTATGCATTTTTCTAAGACCCCCCAGGGGTTAAAAAGCATCTTCTGAAAATGTACAGTAAAATTTAATCTTTCAGATCATCAAAGAAATGTGAATGTTATACAAGAATCATTTTTTCGCTTTTTTTTTTTGCCTGTCCTGTTTGGATCTTTTGCATCAGAATTATTGTCTAAAGGCAAAGAAAGATGCCCAACGGATTTACTTTACCAAATGGACCCAGTGACGTAAGTTTCATTATCCGATTGTTAGCGTGAGGGTCTGTGCAAACTGATGTGATTCAGTGGTGGCTTCCTATTACACAGACTTGTGTCTGTAAAGGCAGACTGCATGGCTAGTTGCTTCAATTCATACACCTGAATTCAAATATTAACAGGTGTGACCCAATAGACCAGATAGTGTAGCTAGCAAGCTCCAGTAGTTCGCTAAGGAGCGTGCAAAATGATGTTACTTAGAGCTTAATAATCCACACTGCAGGTACACATCAGTGCTCAAAGAGATATAAGGTTTATGTTGAACAGAAGCCTTCTCTTTCTGAAAAAGTCCAGCAAGTGTAGACATCTAGGTGAAGATCGACTTGCATATCTTCTATACAACTTTGATTTTTTTTTT